TGCGTGCGTGCGTGCGTGCGTGCGTGCGTGCGTGCGTGCGTGCGTGCGTGCGTGCGCGCGTGTGTGTGCGCGCGCGCGTGTGTGAATGCAAATATGAAGAGGAAGAACAATAGAACAACAGAGATAGAAAGATGAAAGTGAACACAATCATCCTACAATTGTGTATTAAAATATGTGTGTTTCAGTGTGCGTGTGTGTGTGTGTGTGTTGTGTGTGTGTGTGTGTGTGTGTGTGTGTGTGTGTGTGTGTGTGTGTGTGTGTGTGTGTGTGTGTGTGTGTGTGTGTGTGTGTTGGACTCTAGTATATCAGTGGGGAGCCAGGTGATACCTGGTTGTGTGTGAGGCTCAGGATGCATCTGCATCTCATCCAAATGCAGAACATCATTACATCAGAGGGGCTCCTCTACATGCATAACAATATTTCCCAAAAATGCAACAGCGCTAGAGTGATGTATCCAAAACAAAAAAGCCATCAAAAGTAACTTTTTTTTTTTTTAAGGAGACATTGTCTATTCATTTATACATTACTTTTGGCAACATGTCTACATGTTTCTCACACTTCTCTGTTTCAAAAGACTATGCAAGCTATCATGTTTTAAAAACAACGAACAGAGGGAAGTGGACTACATTATATCCAACTTTAATCACCATGATATATTAAAAAGAACCAGTCAGGGTAATGAGGCCATTCATGTAAGTAATAAGGGTGTTAATTAGCAAATATTTATATGTCTGCACACAAGCCTATTATCACATAAGATATATACTTAGAAGAGCCTCCATGTAATCATGGCGTGAAATGGACACATTTTAAATGTATTTAATGGAGTTCTAAATTGTCTTTATATGTTATTGACATGAAATGGTTATTTAAACTAATACTCTCGCAGTTAACATGTTTGACTCAGCTTCAGATAACTTCATCTTTATTGGGATTTCTGTCTTGCAGAGCAGGGTTCTTTATTCCCTTAATTAAAGGAGGCCAGTATTGAACTACCCTCAACATTCCAATTTTTACCATGCTTCAAAAGAAAGATTATCCATAATATTGTCTGTTAATTGGTTTATATTGATGTTTTGATTTGGAATCCAACATGTTTTCAGTTTTACAATAAAAACGTACCTCCTTATCTGTGGTCACTGAAGTGAGTGCTATGGTCATCTCTCCATCAGAAAACTCCTTCAGATCCAGAGTCAGCAGATGCTCCAAGTCTACATCCAGTCAGCACACAAATAGACTGACAGTTATATAAAACACACACAAAAAATACAAAACAAGTTCACAACAGACAGAAAAAAACACAAGCATGAATGCCCTCTCCAGATGTGAGAAGTAATTGAAAGGTTGTTGAAATACTTGGAAAATGTGCCATCAAACTAAATGTTATGATTAGATAGATAGATAGATAGATGAATAGATTATCCCACATTTTCAACATTTTGGATAATAATGAACTTGGAATCAAATTCAGGACAGTTGGCATTACAAGTGAAGGGGCCATAATTAGTTTAATGCTTATTATGACAACTCAAAATATCTGCTGTAAAAAAAGCTCTTTAATAAATATTTAAAAGGTGTTTTAAAAAGGCCTATCCTTCACCTGTCTCTGGCTATGATGACAAGGATGATAGAGAAATTTACCATTTTTATTTTTAATTATTGAGTTGCATGAAGGACTGGATATCACAAGTTAAGACACAGTCCCAAAATGCAAGAGAGATCAGTTGCAAGCCCCATCTCTCTTTCTCCTATGTATAACTCTTCTGTTACAATTAAAGCCTAAACAGCTCTGTGTGTTCAAATATGCACCTTGCAGCTTTGCCACATCATGTTGAGCGGCAGTGACATCACTCCATTGCTCCCAGGATCTCATGAGCTCCTCTAGTTGAGCTGAACGACGGCCATGTTTGATCCACAAAGCTTCACGTTGCAGCTGTAAGGCCTCTGTAGACACACAAACACACAAACAAATGTGGGTGAGTCCAGGATGCACATTTAGTCCAGGACTTCATGTATATTAAATCATGGCTCAATAACAGCGTGAGTGATGATGATCAATAGAAGTTATCGGGTTCATGATGCATTTCTGCCTTTCAGAAACTTGTCTGAACTTCTACTGTAAGGCAACTTACCAGCACTTTCATGTTGATGTTCAAGAGATTGGTAAAAGCAAATCCTTGATTGATAATACTGAATCGATAAAAGTCATGGATTACTGAATGCCCTTTTAACCTTTTGTAGAGGATTTAATAAACTATGACAGATTGACAATGTAATCTTTCAACCACACTCAAGCCACCATGACCAGGGAGAAAACTTCTGACCAAAATGTGTCATCTCAAAACTCCAAGGTAAGGTTGTTCTTGTACTGTATGTGCACAGGGCTATCACTGAGGTGCCACGCTAGTAAGTATTAGTATTCTGCATTTTATGAATGGCAACAGCAATCTTTTTGAAATATTTCTTTGTACTATTTCTGGTTTAAAATATGTTGTGCTTTGCATGCAACACTACATATTTCCAATTGGTTTTAATCATTTTAATCAAGAAAAATCCCAAATATGCAGTGTATAGAAAAAGCTGCAGTACAATTATACATTAACATTTACTGTACTATTACAGTAAGAGAATGAAGAAAGTTGCTTGTTAACCGTCAGTTCTATTTATGAACCAATAAAAACTATTACATGTCCCTCTGGTAACATCTTTCTTAAGAAGACGTTTATAAGAATCAGGAATAAAGCTGAGCCACTGCCTCTTTAGGAATCAATGAGCCTGTAAATGCATGTCCAAAGAGCTCTCAGAGAGACATACAAGAACTAAACTACACACATAACTCTACATATCTGTTTCCCTGAACTTAACCTAGCTCTTTTCCCTTCACTTTATCCACCTTAGCCTGTCCATCTTTCTGTAAATAATCGTGATATCCGGCAGAGAAGAGAAGCAGCAGAGCGTTATTGAACAAGGATCAGTCATGTCTCCTGACCGACCTTTACACAGCTGCTTAACACTGACAACGTGAGTACATGCTTGGCAGGCTGTACTGACTTAACCACACACACACACACACACACACACACACACACACACACACACACACACACACACACACACACACACACACACACACACACACACACACACACCAAAAGGTACTACCCTCCCTGTCTCCGTTCTGCCAAATCCCTCACAAGTATTTGAAAGCAGCTCTAACTGGTTAAACTGATATGATACGATGCAGTAAACTAGTACCTATATTGTTACTTGTTAATATCATTGTACCCAAGCCCACACAGAGACACTCTATGTACTACATTGCAAGACTCTCATACGTTGTTCTCACCTCCTCTCTGTCTACAGTTTTTTAATTGGCTTCCTATTCGTTTCAAACATTCATTGATTTCTCTTTGATTTCCTGCAACAACTTTTCTTTCTTAATTGTAAAAAATGTGACTGCCTGATAAAACAGAAACAACGCAACAGACTAAACTAACCTGAATAAAAAAAGAGTCACATTACGGGACTGTGTCTGTGTGTCTTTGGGCACTCTTCCTTACTCACACTCACCACCCCTCATCTCTCTCTTTCTCCATCTCTCCTGGTGGGTGTTAAGCGAGTCATGTCAGGGGATTTGTGTGTGTCCTCCTTCATCGCCCCATTACTCCCCCTGGGGGGCGCCTGCGCCTCCCTCACCTCCGAGAGTCTCCCCCAGCGCTGCTCCGATGTGCTCTGATGCCTCTTGAAGAATCTCCCCGGCGACTGTCGACACCGCGGACGATGCCCGATCATCCCCTGCGTCCTGCTGCCCGCCATGATGGACCACTCGCAGGATGCTGGACTCCAAGGTGTGGTACTCAGAGCTGGAAGAGTGAGAACATGGGGGTGAAGGGGATGTGCATGGCCGCAGGGGAAGGAGCCATGATTGTGAGGCATTTGCATAAATAAAACTCCCCTTTGGGTCATGAGTGATGAACACACGCAGGCCTGAAATGCACTCCAACACATTCTCCGTTTTATTTTTCCATCAACAAATACAGTCTTCTGAGCCAGAACCCCCTGTGTCCGGATATGTTTGTGAGCTAAATGGGTATGTGTGTGTGTATATGTGTGTGTGCTTCAGCTTCACCAGTACACACGTTAATAAGTGTTGCTCCATTGATACATAAACCTCATTTTAATTAACTAAACCCTCTTTCAGCTAAGATTTTAACGACTCCCCGAGAGTCTCATCTTTAAAGCAGTTAAAGATCAGTTGAAGTAAAACCGACCTGGTGTGTGTGTTTTGACGCAATGTGTGTGCATATATAAATGTGTGTTTACCTATCTAGCAGTCCATCTCGCAGCAGTGTGAGTGAGAGTTTTCCGGTGTGATGGAGCTTTACGAGGTCTACATCCTCCCTCCACACCAGCGAGCTCTGAGAGATCTTCACCCTCCGCAGATACCTCACCGTCTCCTCGGGCAACGCAGCGTCACAGTGCGGGGGGCACAGCAGCGGCACACACACCCCACCTGATGTTTCCTTCTGGAACACACAGACACACAGAGAAGATCAAGCCAGATTTAAAAATGAAAATAAACAAACATTAGAATCCGATTACCAACTAAATAAAGCCATTTTTAAGTTTGATTTAGTAAAATAAACATTTTAAATGTAAGTCCAGTATGTTATGAGAGCACAAAAAAGTGTTAAAATCTGAATAATTTGGTCAATATTTTACAACATTGATTGAATATTTTTCTAAAAATGGTATCCTGTTAAGCCCCAAAGACCCCTTCGGCGGGTCTTTTTTTTTTTTTTAGACACTGTGTCTCAGGGCATCTTAATATTTAAGAACCTATTAATGTATTATACCAGATTAACAGGAAGAATCTCAGCTAACTGACGATACAAACCATTTTTACCAAAACAAAACACAAGTCTCATAAGAAGCATCTAAATGACCCCTGAGCGAAAAATGCTAACGCACTTTGGCACAGAACTCAAGATAAAGATACCCTTATTACTTATCGTAACTGCACATACAAGATATCCAATTAAAACTGAGATTCCAAAGATTATATAGGCATAGAATCATCACTGAGCGATCCAAACTCGCGACAGGGGAAGCAAACACAGACATCACAACACGTACCTTTACGGAGCTTTTACGGGAGATCGTCTCACCGTAGCTGTCAATCTGATCAAAAGACGTGTTCAATGGCATTAAAACGAGAAAAAACGCGGCTGAATCGGTTAATCCATAGGTTGATAATGTTTCTGTGGATTTGAAAAAAGTATTTATAATCCATAATTCCATTTTTATGTAAAAATCGGAGAGTAAAAGTTAGCTGCTAATGGTAGCTACCAGAGTTATCGCAGCTTCCGGTTTTGGCTATGCGTCACTCTCACTCCTTATTTTGTAATGTGTGTGTGTATGTGGGAGTTCCCCTCGATTCCATTGGCTCTGACGGTTAGAAAGAGATCAAAATCGACCAAGGGGGGCCAGAGATATGGAAAATCCTCCCAAATGACCACAGAAGTGTTTTTTTCTTGCAAAATCTCTCTAAAAAGGTCAAATGTCACTTGTTTTGCATCAATCTTGATACGGGGTACTTATTATATGTTGTACTTTGGATTCCTAAAGCTTTTAATCTACTAACCCATCATCCAAGGGTGGTTTTCACTA